AGCCGGCGGAGTGGATAGTCTGGATAGTCTTCGCTCGACCTTGCCCGCGCCCCTCGACACTCGTGGTGATCGGCCAGGGAGAGGAAAGACCTAGGAGAGGAAAGAATGAAATCGACCTCTCTTCTCGACCCTCTTAGCTTGACCTGCTCGGCGTAACTTGGCATTCTTGAAGACAGACTGACTGACTGACTGACTGACTGACTGACTGACTGACTGACTGACTGACTGACAGACAGACAGACAGACAGACAGACAGACAGACAGACAGACAGACAAAACAAACAAACAGACGCACACACACACACACACACACACACACACACACACACACACACACACACACACACACACACACACACACACACACACACACACACACACACACACACACACACACACACAGACACACAGGAGACGAGAGAGAGAGAGAGAGAGAGATAAACGGAGGAGGAAGAGGAGAGATAAGTGCAAATGAGGCGGCTGAGAGGATAGCGATGTTTCTTCCACTGACTCCGGCGGACCCCCAGAATCAGCTGATTTCTCTCGCCTTTGTTCGCTGTCGACGTCTGAAATTGGCCCTGTTTTTTTTTTTTTTTTTCTTTTTCTTTTTTTTTTTTTTTTGGGGGGGGGGGATCAACGGGACGCTAGGTATTGTGTCTACAGTTTTTTTTTTAAGAGTTTGTTTATTCATACATCTGAAATTGGCTTTTTTTTTTTACATTGTCGTTTTTTCCCTTCCGCTGGGACCTAAGTTTATGTTGCCTGAGGTTGTTGTTGTTGTTGTTGTTTTTTAAATATTTTATTTGTATCTTTTAAAAGCTGCACAACATTGTATTTGCAAAACGCTGCAAAATGAATCTCGTTTTATTTCCCAATTTCGTCTGTATGCGTAACCTGGACATTTTATAAAGGAGAGAAAAAGAAAAAGAAAAAAAAGGGAAGGTATTTGCACAGTATTTGAAAAAAAAGGATTTTCAACAGTAAAGGATGCTGATTCCACTGCAAGCTTCGGTTCACGCTAGCTACGACCCTCCGCGAGACAGAAACTACTATTTCGCTCAGTGTTTCGCCTGTGTTACTTGTTTGATGTTATCATGATATGCAAATTGCCAATTCGCGTGTATAACTTCAGGTTCCCGCAGATTGAATGTCAGTCGAGATTCAGACTCTAATGGAACGGTATTGAGGATTGTTTGTTGTGCGAGGGAGGGGAGGGAGGAGGGGAAGGAAGGGAGAGGGAGGAGGGGAGGAGGAGGGAAGAAGGGGAGAGGGAGGGGGGGAGGAGGAAGGGAAGGAAGGGAGGAGAGGGGAGGGAGGAGGGGAAGAAGGAGAGGGAGGTGGGGAGGGGGAAGGGAAGGAAGGAGAAGAGGGTGGGGAGGGGAGGAGGAAGAAGGGAAGAGGGAGGGGGGGAGGGAGGAAGGGAAGAAGGGAGAGGGAGGAGGGGAGGGGGAGGGGAAGGAGAGGGAGAGGCGGGGGAAGGGAGGAAGAGAGGGAGGAGGAGGAGGAAGGAGGGAAGGGAGAGGGAGGGAGAGAAGGGTGAGGAGGAGAGGGGAAGAAGGAGAGTGAGAGGAGGGAAGGAAAGGAAGAGGGAGGGTGGGAAGGGAAGGAGGGAGGAGAGAAGGGGTGGAAGGTAGGGAGAGTGACAGGAGGGTAGGGGGTAGAGAAGGAGAGGGAGGGAGGAGAGTGGGGGGAAGGGAGAGGGAAAGGAGGGAAGGGGAAGTGGGAGGGGGGTGGGAAGGGAGGGAGGATGAAGGGGGGAGGGTAGGGAGAGTGGGATGGAAGGGAGGATAGGTGGGTAGGAGGAAGGGAGGAGGGATGGAGGGAGGAGAAATGGATGAAAAAGATTAGGAAAATTGGAGGGAAGAGATGAACGAAGAAGGATAGGAGGTAAGAAGGAAGGGGGGAACGGAGGAAAGGAGGTATTAACGAAATAAGGGGCAAGGGCAGAATCAGGATCGGAAAAAAGTGAGAGAGAAAAATATAGAACAGAAAGCAGAACAAGAGAACGAGAGAAAGGACAGCAATAGCAGCCAACAATTACCATCCAGATTACCCAAAGGGAAAAAGAAAAAGAAAATCTTCGGGCCTCCTCCTGCCCAGCCACGGAAGAGCGCAGCGCGGGAAGTAGGCCAAGGCAGGCTCCCCCGACAGGCCCCCCCGACAGCCTCCCCGACAGGCTTCCCCGACAGGCTCCTCCGACAGGCTCCCCCTACAGGCTCCCCCGACAGGCTCCCCCGACAGGGCCTCCCCCGACAGGCTCCCCACACTCTCCCCCGGGCAGGCCTCCCCCGACAAGCTCCCCCGACAGGCTCCCCCGCAGGCTCCCCGACAAGCTTCCCCGACAGGCTTCCCCCGACTTCCCCCGAGGGCTCCCCACAATCTTCCCCGACAGGCTCCCCCGACAGGCCGCTTCCCAGGGAGGATTCGGGACGCAGGACGGAGATTAATGAAGGACGGTGCCGGGGAGGTCGCCCGTGCTTGCCTCACGGGCGCTGCATGATGCAGTGGGCCGTGCATGATGTATGGTGCTTGTTAGGTGCCGCCGGTGTCAGGCGGGCCGTGCGATTTTCAGGAGGTCGCGCCCGCGTTTCCAGGCACGTTCGCGTATCATGGAGGTGACGGATGAAAGGGAGCTAGAAAGTATATCTCCCATATAGTATATATATATATATATATATATATATATATATATATATATATATATATATATATATATATATAATATATATATATATATATATATATATATATATATATATATACCACACACACACACGTGTGTGTGTGTGTGTGTGAATCATTTGTGCTAACATTCCCGTCCTTAATGCTATCACCTTGTGAGCTAGAGATGCTCCTCCTCCTCCTCCTCCTCTCTTCCCCTCCTTCCTTTCTCCTTCTTCCTCCTCCTCCTCCTCCTCCTCCTCCCTTCCTCCCTTCCTCCTTCCTCCCTCCTCCTCCTCCTTCCTATAGCCATCTCCACCTCTGTTTATCCCTCTCCCACGCCCACCTATCTGGTTGTCCATCCATCTTTCTATAGCCATCCCTTTATTTCTGTTCATCCCCGCCCCCAGCCCCCCCCCCCAGCCCCGCCCCCCTCTCTCCCTCCTCCATCACAATCTCCTTTCGAGTGTTTACCTTCCCGTCCCTAATGCTATCACCTTTCAGCTCTCCTCATCAAGGCGCCAGTTCTCCTACCCTAGTGTTTTTTCAGCTCCTTTTCTCTCCAGATCTCTTCTTTCGTTCTTTTGTTGCTCCCATTTTTTTCTTTCCTCTTCCTCTCCCTCCCCCCCCCCCTTTTTTTTCTTGTCCTTCATTTCCTCCGATTTATAAGCTCTTGTTTTCACCCTAAGTCTCGACTCTACACGCCCATCCTCACACTCACCTTTGCATTTGTCGTAGCTCTCACTTTAGTCCTCACTCCCCCTACCCACGACTCCCTTCTTACACCTCTCCCCCTCACACTTCTCCCCCCCCGTTCTACACCCTCCCCCCCCTCACAACTCTCCCCCCCCCCTCTTTCACACCTTCCCCTCACAACTCCCCCCCCCCCCCCCGCAACACGTCACCCTCCCTCCTCACAACTCTTCCCCCCTCTCCCAGCCCCACATCCACTCTCACACCCGCACTCTAGTCTCACTCCACAACCCACATCCAAGATCCATCCAACTCCAACCTCACACTTTCGCCGATATCCAACCCCTGCCGGTCTGAACACGCCTTCTGAAACCTCCGGTTTCACGCCCACTCTAAACCCTTCCCCATTCCCCTCCCTCCCTACCCTACCCGAAACCCCCCACTGTAACTTCCGCCGCCTTTACACATTCCTCCCCCCCCTCCACCCCTAACCTACCCCCTCTTCCCCTTCCCCTCTCGAGTCCACACAGTAACCTCGCTACTCCCAACCCCACAACCACCTCTAACCTCCCCAATCCCCCTTAAAACCCCTACAATAACCCCACTCTTCCGCAAACCCTTACACCCCCTCCCTCCACCACCACCCCACACACACCACACATACACCCCACCCCCTAACCCCCTTAGAGAGCACAATTCTCCAAACAATTCCTTCCTCCCCCCCCCCCGCCCCCGTCTCCAGTCGTGCCCCACCCCCCACCCCCTCCCTCCACCACCACCCCACATACACCACCACATACACCCCCACCCCCTAACCCCTTACAGAGCACAATTCTCCAAACAATTCCTCCCCCCCCACCCCCGTCCACTCCACCCCCCCCCCCCTGTGTTTGGTCTGGCGCGGGTGAGCATTTCCCTGCTTTTTGTGCTTGCGTTTCGTCTGCACACATCCCCTTTATGGTCTCGTGCTGGATGCGCTTCGGCGTGGGGGGGGGTTGGGGGGGGAGGGAGGGCAGGGGAGAGGGAGAGGATGGGTGGGTAGGGAGGATGGGATTGGAGGAGAGAGGGAGAAGATGGTTGGGGAAAAGGGAGCGGAGGAGAGAGGGAGCGGAGAGGAGGGATGGGTGGGAGGGAGGGGAGGGGAGAGGATGGGTGGGGTAGGAGGGTGGGGTTTGGAGGAGAGAGAGAGGGAGGGGAGAGGAGAGACAGGGAGGGAAGGGAAGGGGAAAGGAGGGAGTGTTTGGGGAGAGAGGGGAAGAGGGGGGTGGGTTTGGAGGAGAGAGTTGAAGAAGGAGGGAGGGAGGGTGGATGGGTAGGAGGGGTGTGAGAGGGAGTGGGGGGTTTGGGGAAGGGGGATAGGGGGAAAATAAATTAGGAATGAGGGAGACGGGGGGAGAGAGGAAGTGGGGGATAAGACGGCCAGGATTGTGTGTAGAATGAGGGAGAAGGAGGAAGAGACAGGGATGGTGGGGGAGAGGGGGAGCGGGAAAGAGAGTGAGAGTGAAAGGAGAGTCGAGAGTCAGTGAGTGAATGAGTGAATGAGTGAATGAGTGAGTGGGTGAGTGAGTGAATGAATGAGTCGGTGAGTGAGCGAATGAATGAGTGGGAGTGTGAAATGAGAGTGGGTGAGTGAGTGAATGAATGAGTGGGTGAGTGAGTGAATGAAAGAGTGGGTGAGTGAGTGAATGAATGAGTGATGAATGCAGTGAGGAATGTGAGTGAGTGAATGTGAATGTGTGAATGTGAATGAAATGAGTGGGTGAGTCAGTGAATGAATGAGTGGTGAGTCAGTGAATGAATGAGTGGGTGAGTGTGAATGAATGAAGTGAATGAATGAATGAGTGAGTGAGTGAATGAATGAGAATGAGTGAGTGAACGAATGAGTGAGTGAACGAGTGAATGAGTGGGCGAATAAGGGAGGGAGCGGAACGGAGAAGGGAATGGAGGAAGAGAGAAAAGGGTGTAGGAGAGAGGGAATGGGAATGAAAGAGGACGAAGCCCGGGGTGAACAGAAAGAAGGGGAAAGAAAAGAAAAAGAAGAATAAGTGGAAACAGCGTCGAGGGAGAGGGTGAAGGAGATGGAAAGAGAGGGAAATGAGAGATAAGTGATGAAAGAGATGGAAATATGAATGAAGACAGATTGGTAGAAAGTAAAAGATAGAAATCGAACGAGAAAGGAAGGAGAACAGAAGAAGATGGACAAGAATGGAGTGAAAAGACGAATGGATAGAGAATGATGAGAAGAGAGAAACACAGAAAGACTGGAAGACGACAGAGAGGGGACAAAGACACGAGTAAAGATGAAAATCACGAAACGAAAGAGAATTTGATAAAGCACGAGGAAAGGAAGAAGGGAAAGGGGAGACAAAAAGGGAAAACGCCAAGAGAGAAACGGGGAAGGAGGTAGAAAGAAAGCGAAGAAGGGAAGGGTGGGAATTGAATAATGATAATGAGGATAGTCCTAGTTACAGCGATAATAGTGATGATAACGATGATAAAAGACTATAATGTATTAGGAGGGGGTAGGATTAGGAGGAGGAAGGATTAGGATGGAAGAAGATTAACAGAGGGGTAGGATTAGGATGGGAAATGATTAGGAGAGGGGAAGGATTGGTAGGGGGTAGGATTAGGAGAGGGATAAGGACTGAAATGAAGGATTAGGAGGGTGTAGGATTGGGAAGGGTACGGATTAGGAGAGATTCGGGATCGGGTGAGGCTAGGATTGTCAAGATGTTAAGGAAGTTGAAGACATGCGGTAGCGAAGGAAGGGATAGGTATCAGCGGTAGGTTACCAGTGGATAATTTGGTGGATAAGTGGATAATGATGAAGGAAATCAGGATTGCCAATAGTTTGTCCTCGTCGGTCGACTTCTTAGTGCGAGAGAAAGGAGGGAAGAGAAGAGGGAAGGAGGGAAGAGTAGAGGAGAAGGGAAGAAGGAAGAGGGAAGAGGAAGGAGGGGAGAGCGAGGAAGAGGGAAGAAGGGAAGGAGAGGAGAGGGAAAGGGAAGGGGAGAGGAGAGGGGGAGGGAAGGGAAGAGAGAGGGAAGAGGGAATGGAAGAGAGTGGAAGAGAGTAGGGAGAGGAGAGAGGAGAGAGGGAAGAAGCCTGAAGACTTTGTGGGATAGAACAAGGGATTCGACCGTCTTAGATTGAGTGCGGGATTGGAAAGGGGAAATGCCGTGTGTGTGTGTGTGTGCGTGTTTGAGTGTGTGTATGTAGGTGTGTGTGTGTTTGTTTGTGTGCATTTGTGTGTGTGTGTGTTTGTTTTGTGTGTTTGTTTGAGTATGTGTGTGTTTGAGTGTGTGTGCGTGTTTGAGTGTGTGTATGTAGGTGTGTGTGTGTTTGTTTGTTTGAGTGTGTGTGCACTGTGTGTGTGTTGTTGTGTGCATTTGTGTGTGTGTGTGTGTTTGTGTGTTTGTTTGTGTCTGTGTGTTTGAGTGTGTGTGTGCGTGTTTGAGTGTGTGTATGTAGGTGTGTGTGTGTTTGTTTGTGTGCATTTGTGTGTGTGTGTGTTTGTTTGTGTCTGTGTGTGTGTGTTTGAGTATGTGTGTGTTTGAGTGTGTGTGCGTGTGTGTATATGTATGTGTGTGTGTGTGTACCACTGCGAGAGAATTTATGTTTTTCTGTACCCTGTCGAGAGTCACGGGAAGTAGGACATCCCTTAGATAAAGATAATTCTACAGAAAGGAAGACACAACACAACAACAACGACAGTGAACCACTAGGATTATAATACAGGAACGAGAAGAATCTCCTGGAAGTGGGTGGAGTGTCTCGGAAGTACGACTCGCGTGGGAAGAGAGGTGGTTCTGAGGAGGGGGGGGGGGAGAAGAAAGACTTCATTATGGTAAGTTGATATATGGGTCATTCTCGTAGAAAAGAGTGTTCTTGTTTTTTTTCTTTAAGTGTCTGTATGGGCTTTGGGTTATGTGCTTTGTGTAGAGAGGATGGTTCTGAGGAAGGAGGAAGGAGGAGAGAGGGGGGAGTAGGTAAGTGGGAGGAGAGAGGAGGAGGGAGGAGATAGAAGGGAGTAGGGAAGAGGAATTAGGAAGAAGGAAGAAGGAGAAGGACGAAGACGAGGAGGAGGAGGAGGAGGAGATGTAGGGGGTGAGGAAGAATAAAAAGAAGGAGAAGGAGGAGGAAAGA